GTGCGCTGGCGGCAAAGTTAGACCGTTCTAAAATGCGAAATAAACCCAGTTTAACCTCAACATGGTTACATTTAAGGACTTCTAGTTTTCTTGATTTGCAGCGGATTTTCCTCATTTTTGCTTCATTTGAAAGCCGGTCTCCTGCAAATTCAGAGAGTTGATGAAACGCTGAATCTGTCAAGTATTATTTTACAGTACAATAAGAACGAAAATTCAAAAAGTTTTTTTTCAAAAACGGACATTTTAAATTCATGAAAAAAATACATTTTTCAAGAAATAATTTTTGCACAACATATAAAAATTGCAAGGTGTTGTCTTTTCGGCATCAAGAGTTACGGTACGATTAGTGGCAGCGGACCGGAAAAACCCCTTCACCGAAGTAGCATTTTGGCGCTTTCACAAGTGACAGTCTTTCAATTAGATTTTTATGAATTATAGTGATGCTTATAGTTTCTATGAATTTATTTTTATGACCTCAGCAACGGATAATTGGTTGAAATTTATTTATCTTCAAACAGTTTTACAAAATTTTTTTTGGAAAAGCTTACAATTATTTTTTCGGTTTATATTCTTTGCTTGCTTATTGAACCCTTCTAACTGAAGTATATCACGCTCAGGATTGTTTTTTGATTGCAAGTAATATTTTTATTTTATTGTTGCGGCAGTACATTAATTTGAGACTTGGGGGCATATTGAGAAGGCTGGCAACGATGGCCAGTATGAAAGGGGCTCTTTCAGACTAAATCCTAACTCAAAATGACGTTTATAAATAACCCGCGAACGAAAAGAAATACTAGTGGTTTTAGTATTTTCGCAAGAATAGTAAAAGCAAGCAGCACTTCCAGCATCGCGTCTTTGAGTACCGTCATCAGTCAAACATGTAAGAAGTTTCACTGCATTATACTACAAAGCGTTGAGAGCAAAAGTGGCAAAACAGTACTGAAGCAGTAGAATTAAAGTTTTGCAAGGATTATATACATCACTATTGTTTATAAAAATTTAGTTGAAACAGAGATTCTGTCACTTGCGAAAGCGCCAAAATGCTACTTTGGTGAAGGGTTTTTTCCGATCCTCTGCCACTAATCGCACCGTAACTCTTAATGCCGAAAAGACAACCCCTTGCAGTCTTTATATGTTGTGCGAAAATTATTTCTTCAAGAAATGTATCTTTTTTAAAAATTTGAAATGTTTTTTTT